TAAATGTCCTATGTCAAAAACGCAGGCCCCACACCCACCTATAATAATAAGGGTACCTTTTTTCTCACTATTCAGCTTCAATAAGGAGACCCCCAAACAAAAAAGGAAAAAGGGTACTACTGGGGCACCTAGAAAAGGAGCTCCACAGAAAAGTGACATGTAGGGGTATACAGGATTGGGGTTTAGGGTTGAGGGGAGATCAACTGGACACGAAAATTGAAGGCAACATGGAACTTTGGCAATTGGGTTGTATAGGGCTGGAATCCCAAACCGTAATTAGGAAGAAAAATGACCCTTGGTACCTTCATGGGGATATGGGAGGGGGTGTTATGTAAGGATATGCAGACATAGAGTATGTTGGGATAAGTGTTTGCAACGGCATACACACCCCCCCTCACCCAAAAAAAAACATAACATGGACCCGTGACTGCTGCCCGAGGGAGCCTCCCACGCTGAAATCTTGACCAAGCTTGAGCCAACTCTACAGAAAGAGATCCAAAAATCAAGGGGTTCCAAATGGGGGGTGGTTCCTCACCATAAGGAATACAACATATTGGGGTTCACTGGTTTAGAATCAAGGGCGCGGAGCTTCGGTTAGGAGAAAAGACTTTGGCAAAGGCATTGCACACTGTCATTCTAACTGAATAATGGATAGTCAGCTGCAGAGAGAAGATGAAACATTACATGGAAACTGGGATTGACAGATGGCTTTTTGCAAAGTTTCCAACAACTAGTGGCCTTTAAGGCTTCGTTATCAACAAAAATATGACGGTTGGAGATATGTTTACGAGGCGGACAGGAGCAGCATTGTTTTTTCTCAAAACAACGGGCTTGTTTGGACTGTAGGGATTCAGGGTTGAGGGTTTAGAATGGATCTAGGATGGAAGGCTCATCTAACTGCAAGGTCGAGAAGGTCCCCTGTGTGAGAAAAGGAACTCCTTTTAACCGAGTTGTGCGGATTATTCGAGATTCTCCCACATGTTGGCGCGGGATTGGTTTAGATACTCCCACACGCGGGCACTGAAGGAAGTTAAGCCACGACGCCAGAAATTGCAACGGGCATTTTCTAGGGACTTTAGGAGGGACCCCTAATAGGGACCCTTCATCCCATTATCATATATAACCCTTATAAAGTCATTATATAACCCCTATATCCCTAGGCCCTAGGTAGTCAGAAATTGCAAACAATGACGCAACGTGAGGCGCTGCACAGTCTCTTCCAGCAATGCGGCACACCAAGACACTGGGTCCAAGGGAATAATGGGGGGAACAACGGGAAAGAAAATGGAAACTACTATAATAGGGCTTACGGATTTAGGGATTTAGGGTTCAGGGTTTAGGGGACTAGGTCTCTCAACAATGGGCTCTTCAATTCTGAGAATACATATTTTTCTGCGCTGTTGCTAAGGAACCTCAAATAAGTTACTATAACCTGTTCTTTATTATGTACTCATATTGGGCTAACTTAATTCAAGCTCCTCAATGGCAACCCAGTTTTCCCCAACATGTGCATGCACACCGCAGCAAGCACCCTCCAAGTTGAAAAGACTCCACCCCTGAGCCAAAGGCCTAACCCCTGTAAATCCCAAAGGGTCCATGTAGCTATATAGTACATACTTGGGCGTTTAAAGTAAGTATATGGGAACCCCTTTGGGCCCTAAGTATATACCATATACCTACATGGACCCTTTGGGAATACAAAACTCCAAGAGGTTTAGCGTTCAGGGTTTAGCTTCAAAATAGCACCTAGTGGACATACAACACTCAAAGGTTGTAGTTGCCTTTCTTAGAGGGCCCAAACAGAAAACCCCATTATGGGGACTCCCACAAAGGCTCATTTTTGGAAACCATGGTCCCTGTAGATCTCAGCCTAACCCTACATCCCTATATCCCCCGCAAGTCCTTCAAAAGGTAGGTATACCCCACAAACCCTAAACCTAAGCCCAAAGCCTAATTTCAACAACAATTCAGTTGAGAGACCTTCTCTTGGCCAAAAAGTTACGGAGGCGGTCCCTAAGAGCCTGGAGGACAAAAAACAGGGTTTAGGGTTTACGGAGAGCAAGAGGGTCAAATTGATATGGTAGTTTCCCAAAATAAGGGGACCCCAATATAGACCCCAATATGTTCTAATCCTTATTCTGGGGACCCCAAACCCTAAACCCTAATTTTAGGAAACCCCCACATAGGGTTTAGGGTTTCGGAGTGCTTTGGGCTGAGGGTGTAGAATCCTAAATCAAATGGAAAACAACAAAAATCAACTTGAAACTTGGTGATGATCATGAAAGGGCTCTACTCTTGGTTTAGGGTTTAGGGATCTCGGTACTTGCTTTAGGCCCTGTAGTAATGGGTTTGAGGGTTGGGAGTGAAGACTTTAGGCTGTAGGGCGTAGGTTCGTTGCTTGAGTTGTGGCCTAAACTGCGTAACCCAGACCCGTGATTAATAAACCCCCTCCCCTTAATAGGGATTATAATAGGGAGCCTCATATTTAGGTCCTTAAAAGGAGGGGGTTTGTTAATAATGGGTCTACATTAAATTATGAGGTTTAGGTAAACTGCTTCAACATGACTTCGCTGGGTCCACAGGGATCGTTGTACCACGACAACTCTTATAAGGGCTCTGGACAGGCGTAGAGGCAGGATTCAGGTACTGCAAGAACCTTGAACCATTCACCCAAAACCCTAACCTTGAACCCTCAACCTTGGGTGCTGCCCCCACCCCTTTACAGTCTATAATAAAGGTCATATTAAGGACTTTGCATAACTACAGTATAATTACTATCCAACCGCTCATGAGTACCAAACCTAAACCCTGAACCCGTTGACGGATGTACATCCCAGGTCGTTTTGCTGTTACAGCACATCCTCTTTTGCAGGTAAAAGTGTTTTCCAAAGGTCCTTGTTAAGAAGGGTAAGAAGGGATCATCTGGAATAAGGCCAATTGGGGCACAACTAACTACCAAATAGATATCCGCTGGGTTTCGCATGCCGTGTAGGATGAGATTTCTAGTAGTACATGCTCTAGTGCGGTGTGAAGGAAGTTCCAACGTATCTCACTCCCTGTGTAGTACTACCGCTGTAGTTCAGTCCTTTGTGAAACACTACTCAGGTGAATGGTTGAGCTGGCTTTTGAACTACAACCACTTTGCTGATGCATGTATCACCTTTTTTTCCCTAAACCGTGTAGGCAGTATTCAGCATACCCCAAACCCATACCCCTTGACCTGGAAGGGCCCCCAAAAGGAGAACATGAGGGGAACTTTGGCGCACCGCTGAACTTCTTGCAGGGGTATGCCTTAGGAGGACCCCCCACCCTGTAATAGTGGTACAATAAGAATATACGAGGACCCTAATATAATCCCTATTATCCTTTATAGTCACTATTACTGGGTGGGGGGTCCACCAAAGGTATGCCGCTAGACTATGCTGAGAGCTTCTTGGATTATATTTTCCGGCTTCGTGCTCAGGAAGCATTGGAAGCTGACGCTATTGTGTTTGGTACCTATGCCCTAATCCCCCGCAGTAAATGATGAATGGCGAAAAAACCCTGAAAAGTGCCCAAACAAATACTGCACTTACTTTGCAGGTTTAGGTAAGCCCGAAGCCCTCTACCGTGGCGACGCCTCACTAAGTCATGTAGAAGGTAGCAGTGGTGCAAAACATCACTTAATCATTGGGTACTGCCCCCTCCCAGTAACAGTCTGTACTAGGGGTCCTTTTAAGGGCTATATATAACCATAATATAGTTACCATTCAACTGTTACTGAGGGGGGGGCAGTACCCAACTTAATCATTAGCTATGTGGCTGGCATACGGGGCATATAGGATTTAGAGCTGAGGCCCTAAATCCCTAAACCCACAACCCTTTAAAACCCTAAACCCTAAACCCCAACACCCTAAAGCCCCCCCAAACCCTAAACCCTACACCCTAAACCCCTAAACCCCAACACCCTAAAACCCTAAAGCCATCAACCCTAAACTATAGGGTAGTTGTTCAAAATGCCTGTCCCCAAATTGCCACAAGGGCTCAGGTGTTTTCTAAGGGACTCTGCCGCAAGAAGAGTTCCTTCCAGTTAGGGGGATCTTAGACAGTAGGGTTTAGGGTTTAGAGAAATCCCCTCCAAACTTGACATGCTTGGCCCAGAGTTTTACACTCCAGCCCCTAAGCCATAGACTCTAAAGCTTAAGCCCCAAACGCTAAAGCCAAACCGCAAAGCCTGGACCCACGTTTCAAAAAGCTATACATCCCTGTGCAACCCCTGGTGCCGCTTTAAAGGGACCTAGGCTCTTTTACCCTAAGCTGGCTTGCTGTACAGGCACTAGAAGTAAGCTACCATGCCATGGGTTTAGGGTAAACCTTGAACCCTAAACCCTAAACCCTAAACCCTAAACCCTGAACCCTGAACCCTAAACCCTAAAGTTCCCTAGCAACAACTCAGTGAGTCCCAAAATGGCCTCGTTTGAATCGTCAGAGCCTTGCTCAACCGTTGCCAACTCTTCGCTTCCAGAACCTCTTCAGCTACGGCTGGGTTGCTGTTAAGGAACTTAAATAAAATTACCATAATGGGTATACATAGTAAATAATAGGGTTTCTCCAATATAGTAACTTAACTTAAGTTCCTTAACAGCAACCCAGTCTTCAGCTACGAAGGTGGGGTTCAAGGCTTAGAGCGCAGGGTTTATGGGGATTGAAAGTTCATATCGTCCAGAGTCTTAGCGTTTTTTGGAGACCAGGCTTTAGGGTTTGGAGTTCTTAGTCTATTGGGTCTAGGGTTCAAAGTTTAAGGTGTTGGGCTGAAGTAGGGCTCAGAGCTCATGCAGAGTTTGGGGTTTTAGCTTTGGGGTTTAGACTTTAAAGCTTTCGTTCTACAACGCGTTTAATGAGATTTTGAGGTTCAAGGTAGGGA